TGGTTTTGTGAATTGTGTTTAGTGTTCTGAGAAACTGAGCAATTAAAAAAAAAATGTGTGTTAGCAATCGAGAAAAACTGTAAACCGATGTACTGTTGCCTCTGTAATCCGGACACTTAGACTTGAAAACAGGTTAGTTACCAGTTTTCAACTCTGCATAACTCATGATATATCAGTGCTTATATCTGCTGTGTGAAACGTATTCACTTCATCACTGTAATTGAATTGTTGGCATGTTGCAGACTATAACTGTACAAACATCCTGCACAATGTATTGTGGTAAACTTACTTGTATGCAACACAGACACTGACCAACCACTATATCTTTGTTGTTTATCTGAAGGACTGAAAAAAAGAGGTGCAGGTGGAAGGCTAAGGATTTTCAATGAGGCACGGGTAGCAGCAGTTACAAACTGGGTTTTGGCAAACAATGCCATCACACTTTGAGAGATCTGAAGCATAGTAACTATGTGCTGAGATGCATGTTGCACAATGTTATTTTTGAAAATATGATTTATTTCAACAACTCATTTGTATTTCTTCTTTTACTGTATTTCTGTAAACTCAAGCAATCTTTCTCTGCAGAAACCTCTATGTACAGAGCATAGCCCATAAAAGATGGAAGTGCTTTAGATTATGCTCAGCAGTGTGTAGTTGGGTGGTCAAACAATCTAGTATTATGAATGAAGTGTGTTATATTTGGTGCAAAAGTTTACATTTGGCAAGTGTTTGTGTAGTTTGAGTGCAGTTCTTCATTTAGCAGGAGAAATTAGGTGTTTTGCACTTTGGGTGTGGGGTTTTGTGAATTGTGTTTAGTGTTCTGAGAAACTGAGCAATTTAAAAAGAAATGTGTGTTAGCAATCGAGAAAAACTGTAACCTTTTTTTTATTGCCATGGATGAACATATCGTAACAACTGACCAAAACAGACAGAAAATCAGTGTTTTTTCATAGTTCTTCTGACATTCGGGTGTAGATTTTGAATAGTCTCTCTAAGACAACAACGATTTTGAAAGAGGTTTCTTATAATTAAGTAAATTACATAATGCTTAAGAAAACATATAGGGAAACCAACAGGTGTCTGCATGTGCACAGTCCATGAGTCATCGTAAGCTAGAGACGGCATGTAAGTGCATTTAGTCTGAAGAGGGAGTGAAGGTGGAAGTGAAAAGGGGAGTGGTAGGCAGTCAATTATTCAGAAAAGGAGCATACCTGAGAAAAGGAAAGCTGGCCGGAATAAAGTCCGGAATAAAGCAGTTTAATCAGGTGGAAGAACATGACACTAAATCGTTACCGACATTGGTGTCTCATTTGGTATCAGGGATCCCAGACTTGCAGTGACGTGTGGATCCCTGTCACAGCCTGCTGACGGAGAACCTGTCAATTAACTCATGGCTGGTTTCATCCGGTCTGAGACACTCTGAGGTGTCATCTATTTCAAAAGCACGAAAGCACTCATTTCTAATGAGACGATGACAGTGACACAATGAATCATATTATGTATTTTGATTTGTTTTGGATTGTTTCTTTGCATTCAAACCCCTTTTGATTCAGTAGATTTGTCATTATCTTTATGTTAAATACAAATAGATGTTAAGTGTTAATGTTAAGATTGTTATTCTTAAAGGTGGGGTTGGTAATTTTGGAGAAACCAGCTCGAGTGCGCTAGGATTTGAAAATACACAACCGGAAAAAATCTGCCACTTCCTTACAGAGCCCCTCCTCCAACACACACGAACGCGCCAATGAGGGCACGAGATAAGTTTTTGCACAGATGGAAGGCTGACAGGCAGGTAGGCCATCCAGTTACTTTAGCCGGGCCGGCTTTTTACAGCGCCACGGCTTCCACAGATGTGGATATACACAGTCATATATCATCACTGCTGCATGACAACATCGCCTG